AATATACAGTATATTCCTGGGTAAATCATATCTTCATCAAGTGAATTTCCATACTACTACCGTGAATTTTCATGCTACTGTGCGGGTGACTAATCTCCAAAAACCTGGAAATAGGATTGACTGATGAGTGTATCCAAAGGCCTTCTTCGAATAGAAACTTTTGCTATGCGCATAAAATGGAACGTATCCCAGGCTTAGAACGTGGAGTCGGGCACTCTATTCGCAATGTTTTAGTTTTTTTCGAAAAACAACAGTAACAAGGGGCGATGCTTCACTTGAGATTTTCTAGAAAGCAGTGCTATAGAGAATGCGGGAGGACGTGCTATGAACGTATCTATCTATGGCTGTGATTCGCTTCCACATGCTCCTAACCTGTCCGGGAGAGCTGACGGCGAAAACGTCTTTAATAAGGCCAATGCGTAGGCCATAGCTTAAGGAATATATTTTGTTTGCAATTGATCCATCAACCCCCTCGTTCATAACCTCCCGTTATCCTCCTATTTACGTCCATGATAGGGTCATGTATAGATTCACTTACGCTAGATAATTCGCTTTACAAAAAGGGACAAATCGATGACAGAATTAGTTTGTGGATAGGAATGGTTTCATATGCAAAAAAAATCCCTTAATCTCGCCGTTGTTTTATTTGGATTGAAGAGCAGGTGTTAGTCGACCTTTTCTATCAGGTACGATATTTTTCGTTCTCATTCGATGTTACTGGTGTATACGACGACTACAGTAACAAACAGGGTGATCTACTCGCGCTGTCGACTCTTGAACGCCCGGTCGAAGATGCGAACTAAATGATGCATGATCATGCGAAGTGTATGTGGACCTAGGAATGCCCTCATACCCATATGGAAGGACCTAAACTTGCCTGCGACGTGAACAATGTTTGTAAATCTAAAAAATTCTTAAATAAGAGAGAGAGAAATAAATTAAGTTATTGTTGCTCTCAGCGGCAGTCTTTACGATATTTTCTTTGAGTGAGGTCATAGTCAATAGTTTAGGAGCAGTTGAACGTTTCAGAGTTTATGTTTTGTATAGCCGCTAGACACAGACGCATCAGAGGGACCAGGAGGTAGACTGTACTGCACGCGGTCTTTCCAGTTGTAGCAGCTCATGTAGTCTCAGTCCACAAGCCCTCTGACCTAGATGCTTAAAACACTTAACTAGAAGATAAACGGTACGTTGCAAACGTTCGTATTCATAGTAAAACAGCGTAACATGCTTGAAATTGCTTTATCTTCTTCTGCAGCATGATTATACGGCACAAGAGGACAAGGCACAGAGATCGGTATTTTCATATGAGGGGAAAAACGTTGTCCTGCAATATACTACCTGAAGCCCGATGCGTCACTAGCAATAATACGTAGATTTTTTCTCCTGTGACCTAATTTGCTTGTTAGTTTAGCAGATTTTTTCCACGAAAAATTGAATCCCGTTTGTCACAATGTAATTTTAATGGCGTTATGTTTCATTGGTCCGCTTGAAGCCTGAAGACTATGCAGAAAAATAGTCCGTGGCAAGCAACGGACGTTTCGTTGCAGAAGCTGGAGAATTGAAAGATAGAGAAACAATTGGGGAAATATTGATCTTCGTATGCTATTATATTGATATTGACACATTTTCCAAGGCAACCGGAGCGTGCTGAGTCAAGTGTCCATGGCGTTTATGCTATGTAAACGTATCTAAGTGAAAAAAAAAACTTAAACTCTAATAGAATCTTCTTTATCGAGAAAAAGACAGCAACGGATTTAACTTAACCCCCACATTTTCGCCAATTGCGCGTCCACTGAATATTCCATTCAGTCACCGTTAATCAATTCCAATATCGGATTAAAGTTACCTACCCAGACACAATATACTGTGCGCGAAGATCAATGCAGTGATGACCCGTTAAGCTGTGCCGTTAGCACCGAACAAATGCGGCCCAGCGCTTTCGGCTAATGATGAACCATTGGGTACGATACAGTTCTTAATCCAAGTACTGCACCATAAAAGAATCAACGTTTCTACAATTCCAACCAAGTGACGAGTGCATTGAATTTATTTTGATAGGAAAGGTTTGCCAATTCTGGCGGATTAACTGAGCTATTATATGAGGCATTACAGTTCATAATGTTATCGATTAACGTCGTTGTTTGTTGGGTCTTTTTTTCACTGATAATAGAAATGAACTAAATAAGTTAATTTTGCTTTCCGTAATGGCGGTTCGCGGAGTCGGGGGCATAGCTCAAATAGCGTACGATCTATCTTATTGCTCCCTGTTATTGCGATGAAGAGAAATCTTCTGATGATGTAAAAGAGACGTTAAGCATGAGATTTGCTTAATCATCAACGGATGACGCGTCTACTATCATGTATTGTAAGACGTACTAAAATAATTCCTCGTATGGAAATAATCATTGCGATTATCCGTAAGGAGATGAGTTGCAGTTGGCAGCTGGAAGTTGAATCAGGTAGGGTACAACCTCTTGCCCTACCGTTCGTTACTAGTCATTTGTTCGGCTGATCATTTGGTAAGTATGTAATGTAATTAAATCGCCAGCCGAACAAATTAAGTGCCGCCTACTTTCCTACAGGCGTTGTTCCATTGGGTCGTGAGGCCATCGCACGGCGAAGCTGGACGTCTGCCTAACGAGTGATCATGACGGCGAGATAATTCCGTCCGGACAAGCGTCCGCGGCGTTTACGTCGTCGGCGACGAAAGAAAACAGCAGCAGTAACTAATGATATTAGTATGAGTGAATTATAACCGCGTGCCGCTAGAGCTCAACAAAATATGAGCCCATTGACGAATGTTTAGAAAGGAGATACGTCGTGGGAGATGTTTTTAGGGCCGAACTCAAAGAGACATTACGCTATTTAGAGCGAGAAGGTATTCTAGCATCACTTACGTGGTATCTATAATTCTCCCAAAGTCCAACCAGTGAAAATATCATCATCGATAATTATATTAATCAATTTCTAGTACGGAGAAAAGAAATTGTGGACTCGATCCAATGTAACGAAACGTTGGCTGGCATATTTACCTGGTTTTACTAAAAAAAACACTAAGGGTTCTTAAGCAGGTGTTCTCAATCAGCCGCTTTTTTCACCAGCCTCTTGTTCTAGACAAATTTCACAAAGTGCCCGCGATAATTTCGTGAAAATAACTTCACATATTCCTACCGGGCAGACCGGCTCGAGCAAAAACTATTCTAAACTAGACCCGTAATGCGTCAAAAACATTGTTTCTACCTTTACGCCCGGCTGGTCGTTTATAATTTTTACTGGCTTCTAATTTTATGTGAACGGCATTGCGTCGCATTATTCGCGCTGAAGAATATTCTGTTCTGTGTAAGATCGCTTGTTTGCTCTCCAATAAGATTCTGTAGTCATATCGCTACATAGTTAACGGATAAACACTTTTAATTTTTCCACGAGGCACTGCCGGATTTTGGAAAGCACTGGAAAAAATGTCGGGTCAATTGTATTGATCGTTTTCCCTGTATCAGGTCACACAACTCAACCACGACAGGACTGTAGCCACGTATACACATAGGTTGTGTCACTCAATCCGTAGACAGCCATTGCCGCCGGATGCCTACTCTCTTTTCGCTAATATCCTCTCGATTAAAAGGGAATTTTGTATCAGCAGTATTAAACCGATGGTCGTCGCTGACGACAGCGCGACCGTTTTCGACCGATTAAATTAACATTGAAAACGAAAGCCGACTAAAAAGTTATTCATAGACCAAGTGTTGACGAATAGAATAAGTTTATAACAGTCAAAATTGGCGTAGCGTGACGGATTTACGGCCGAGAAAAGCACTAAGTTAAGTGGTATGCGTAGGTAGATTGATAGGTGGGCGCGACGATTACTTTTGTTTTGAGTGCAGCGCAGTTCTGTAACTTGGTTTAAATATAAGGGGCGATTATTGAAGAAATATACCAAATCCTTAAAAAAAAAAAAAAAAAAAAACTATTCTATACGTAGCAGACGTGCAGCGAAGAGGTATGTTCTCTCCAAACCGAGGTCGTGAAATTCTATAACTCGACACAGTCACCTGTCAGTTTCCAAGCTAATATCTTATTTGTTTCTTGCATCAAAGACTTTAATGTTATTAAATTCAGCTAAAAAATTTACATGCCAATATGTTAGGCACAGACTGATAGAGATCAGTTTAAAAGTAGACACTCCATCCTCCCTCCCGTAACGGTCTTAGGTGACAGGCAGTTTCTCCATCACTCGTGAGATTCGCGTTGAAATATTTTTAATGCAGCGGTTGGTTGCAGGTTCCTCTCAGTGAGAGTGACCTATTCCATAGTCGATCTCCCAGTATCATGATGAATACGTCGTGCTGGAACATTCTCTCCGGACAGTCCAGAAAATGTCCAGACTCAATATGAAGAGAATCGGATCGCTTTGCTTTGCATGAGAAGATGCTACTTACATCTTCTCAATCGGCTTGATCGGGCATCTAGTTGCATTGAGGGTTCTTTTCATCGATAAGTTGTACTCACACTATATAAATATCTGAAAAAAAATATATCCTCACGGATCGCTGAGAACTGATATGCTTCAGTAATAGTAATCGAATTATTATCGTTAATCAAACGGTATTAAATGGATGCCTCCGTTAATAACAAATTGGCAGAATAAATTTATGTACTACACTACACATATGAATATATGACGATTTCCCGCGATAAGCTCCCGCTAAATCGACGCTACATAATAGCTATAGCTAACGTAAACGATTGAAGGGGCAGTTCTCCTGCCGCTTGACTGCCGCTAGATTTGACTTGATATACCTCTTTGTCTAGGGCTATGAATTCATTCTCCGATTTACGATGACGGTAATAGGTATTAACAGATTAATATAGGGTAGTTTCACATATGGCAACCCGTGTGAGCCTATTACCAATCGCATTGACCTTATGTATATGTATGAAATCACTTGTTACTAACAACGACCCGCTGCTTTTGACGCGATTTATGTTTACTTCTTCAGGAAGAGGTAGGTCGAGAGTTGTCCTCGATCCCGTGCGAGTTAGACGTGCTCCCACAGGCGGTACAGCAGCCCGAAGTCAAAATGACGAAGAAGGAACTCGAAGATTTATATGTAGAAGTGCTGTATACGATCAAGCACAAACTCGGAGGTGGGGTGTCTTACGCCGAAGCTGAACTCTTTGCATTTGCCCAAGATGCCTTCGGTAATTATGTTTTTTTTACTGATCAAAATCGAAATGAATGAATAATTGACTAGTTTTTCCAACTTTTCCTTGAAACTGAAATATCCTGAAGTTGGCATCAAAGGTTCTGTTTGGTTCGGGTACCTCCTGCCGCATGATGTTTAGCTAAGTTTCTAACGCCTAAAGAAGGACTTTTATTGATCAATAGATCGATCTACGGCGTTATTGTTAGCAGTCGAATGGGGAATGACTTGAGAGATCGTTAATAATATCAAGAGTGGATCTATACCTTTTTTGGTGTAAATAGCCAGCTAAAGTATTATCTCAAAACATGTGTAAAATACAAACAAAAACAAACATTCTTTACTGTGTCGGGATGGCTCTGATTATTTCGGATCTCTCTAAGTTTCATCTGAGTGTTACAAAAGTAAAAATCGCCACTTAAAATTACAGATACTATCACTAAATCCACCATAGTTCATCAACTCTATCACTCGGTCTTCTCATGGTCTTTCCGGAAAGAATAGATAGCTGACTATTCATTTTACATAAGGAATTAAATTTTATATGCATATATTTATCTAAAGGCCAGTGTATCTAAAAGCCTCCCCAAAAACGTACTCGCGGCAATTAATAGGCGATATGTAAAAAGTGGGCGCAGCGTCGAAGGTGCAATAAACTCAGAAGAGCCGTAATCTGGGAATATATTGATTTTAATACGATGTGTTTTTAGATTTATGCCTTACATGTACATCTATACCTATTCTAGGCATGTCAAATGAGGCGCACCAACGGTTGCTTTCTGTCGCGGCCGAAGAGAAGCCCCCGATCCCAGTGCTTAACGTCGTCGTCGTAGAGGCTCAGGGACTTGAAGCCAAAGACCCCAATGGTAAGCATTACTAATCTAAAGGCGTTGAACTTCAAAGCCTGGTGGTGTTTTCCATCAACTAATTATTAACATACGCAATAGTATGGCTGCCGACACACGGTTTATCAACCTACATGCCAATGGGGTAGCTTTGTCGTTATATAATTTATCAGAAACCGGAGTTTTCGAAACACCTTATGAATACAAAGGCAATCACAAAGCCGAGGTCAAATTGAAATGGAAAATTTTTATTTGCTACAATTGCGTGGTCTGGACGTTTACATTTACTTCTACGCAGTGCTTAGCTGGTCCCCCTAAGTCGTCCACAATAAGCCCTCGAGTATAAATGAAATCCCCCTGATTCCAACTGCATTCCTTTATTACTGATTGAATAGCCGATTTTATAACGGTAACTCCCGTGCTACATAATAGTAGACTTTTATGCGCACCGAAGTTTTAGATTACCCATTGTTGTTAAGCATAACGTTAGTTCTACTGTTGACGAAATATAGGAGTGGGCTAATTTAGCGTACCATAGCTATTAGATCTACGCTTATACAGTGATAGGCATGTATTTACTTGCTACAGCGTGAAATATTAAATTCAACATATTTCGGAAACATTGATCTGGTAAGGTGTTTCCATTCTATATTAGCTCTTCTGCCGTTTCCAAGTTTAACGTCATTCGCTGTCTGAATTCTAGAATAACCTGTCTTTTTCCGGTGGGAACGACAATAACTCTAAAACTTTTGATCATGGATCTTGCAGTAAAACGAACGATTCCCCCTGGCATAGAAATCGACCAACAGGCGACAGATGACTGTCCAGAAGATAACGGGTAAAAATAAAACTATGACGGCAAAAAATAGATAGAAACTATACAGATGTGGCTATAATTGTAGTTTTCGCTATACGTCCCATTCGCTAGTAACGTTTGTAGTTCATCTCATCATTCTCAAGTACAAGGCTAGTCCTAAAAGCACCAGTCCATCAAGCGACAAACGGCGTTCCCTACGCCCCGCTGACCCTGATTACGGGCTGCAAACGTGGTAGGTTCAGTTTAGCAGGGCAACATTGAACGCGATCCTTTTGATCCTGACTTGAAGAGTAGGACAAGGTAAGCAAGCTGGTTACCTTTAATGACGCCGTTACGCGTGGCATCCGCTCTGGTTCAGCGGTCTGCGCGCAAACCCCAGCGACACATGGCACCTCTACCGTACGCTTGCGTGTGCTCAATATCCGCGTAGCATCACTGTACTCATCTAATTTTCACGTGTTTTCGCTTGTGATAATGACAGCAGACGTTGTTTTCGCATTGCAATAGCTTGTCAGACAAGAGCTTACGATATCACCGACGGATCAGAAGTTTCAGGCGTATAATCCTACATAATGCTGACTAAACGGGCTAAGAAAGCTATGCCCAAGCACGAGTCCAGGCTCATCCAGCAATATCTTTGCATTTTATATGGTGATTAAAAGTTGTTAGAAGATCTCACTGTTCTTCTTAGGGTGGCTGAAAAATAGTTCTAGCTTCCTTCGGTAAAAAGCAATTGTTCGGTTCTTTCAAGCTCTCCAGCGTAACTGTCCCTCGAATTTTTAATAATACCAGAACCGCGTGCTTTTCAACACGTATAATCGATCAAAGCCCTCAGCAGCTGAAGCAATAAAAAATCCATACATAGCTTGTATAGTTAAAAAAGCTGTTTCATGTAAATGTTTATCAGCCCTTAGAGAATTACCGGCTGCTTGTCAGGAACCCCCGTTTTTACCTAAAATATTCCTGATTCCGTTCCAACTGTGTGACCTTTCTGTTGATCCAGTAACCACTTTTGTGACGGCGGCCTTTTCATAACACAATCATGTAGTGCAAGAATTTCCTGTGTGCATAGGGACCTTAAATTAGCCTGTATTGCCAAACCTAATCTTGGTTTTGGTTAACATAACCTCCTGCTTGATCAAGCAGGATCGTCAACACTTTTGCACCCTCCTGCATCTTAAGTATTCATCATTTACTCGATACTTTTGTCAGTATGTTCGACATCACATAATTGTATTTTTACGCAGTTAGACTATAATATTGATTGATTTTTACAGCTAACAAGTACCCCCACACACTTCTCTTAAATTAATCAGTTCTAGTGCGCAGAGCCCATTGAGTTGCTGCACTATTGATCGACGTACGCAAGATTTAGATTGGTAAAAAATTTTGAAAAAGATATGCTTTCTATGGCTCCTGCCGCCATCTCTATTGCAAAAAACGTTCACGACACCAATGGCCAACTGATGCGATGACTCGAAAGGCACGCATACAGAGAGTGAATTTAAAACTTAGATTCTGAGCGTCTTTTTTGTATTCATGTGCAGCGGCCATGAAGTGAAGAGGTATCCCGGACGGACACTTTAATGTTTCCCCAAAGGGCATAGATAAAGTTTGCGAAAGCATGGGGGATTTAGATCTGCCGACAACTCTATATGCACGTAGGTTCTTTTACGTCTGGGTTCAATCTCAAATATAATTAGGCCTGGTTTATACAAAAGGTCTGCACAATATTAGTGTGAGATTGACGCTTCAAATAGCTTCTAGCTAAGTTATCAGATTAGCCTTGAAGAAAAATTATTTTCACTAATATATATCTGTCCGTTTAAGGCTTCTGTGCACTTGTTAGAACAGTTATCCCTCAAATATGCAAGGAAAGCTACCCAACAGAAACTCAACAGAAACGAAAGAACATTGAGCTCCGGAAGCCAATTGCAGATGTAATAATATACTACATCTTACAATTACTGCCATTTTAGTACTGCGGAACCAATGTCTATCCATATGCCTATATAGCAAATTGCTCTTTATGGATATTTTTCGATGGACCCTGATGTGCCTCGTCGAATTCGGAGCCATGAAAATCCCGCTAGGTAGCCATGAATCAGCTTATCCTTCTCTCTGGATTAATAGTTAAGGTCATTTCACTTTCAATACCTTGGACAAGTGTTTTTTTTACTCCAGTCTATGCCTATTCGTCCGATTGTTATTTGTTTTGGTCACTAGGCGAACTAAAATCATTGCCCGAACAGATTGTCGATATGCTTGTTATTGCGTTCTGAGGAGATCGTTGTATCTGGCAGGTTCGCTGACTTTTTATTAACTTGTTTCTAAGAGATAGCAATTGAAAACGTCTTATTGAAGAGTTTTGCCGTTCACACCGGCGTCATTTTTCTACATCAGTGATCATCATCTCCTCTACTGCTACATGGACGGCATCGCCAAGTCATAAATTATTCATGCACGAGGCAACGCGTTTTCATTGCCGACGATAGAACTGTGTACCAAGTGACATTTCCCGCCTTTGGCAACTACTCTCTGCCACATGTTTCCTCCCTAGCGGCAACTGAGCTTCGGCCAATCTAGCCAGGCTACTTACAGCCTTGACCCTTAATCCTTTAGTAGGACAGATTGGTATGACCGATTGCGCGTCGGTCCGTGGCTTGCAAGGATTAATAGCGGAACGTTTACGTTCAGCTATTAATAGTAAATGAAATGCTAAATCCGATGATTGCCATCTAATGTCAGCTCGTTCTGCCTAATAATTGAGCAACGTCGTCGTAACTGTATTATACAGATTTTAACAGCATCTGTTGACAAGCGTACTACATTGAAGGTAATTATTAATTATGTGACACACGAGGGATCAGTAAGGCATTAAGCTCTAATTTTACCGTTGCTTTTTGACGTATGCTCCCGGCTGAACGATCGGGTAGCGAATGAGTAATTCAAAATATTCAATCGGCCTGTAGGATCGAAGCGGACTTTATCCGATATCAGACATGTTTCCCAATACCCAACTGATGTCGAGACATAATCCACGGAGCGTCAGCTGCACTTCAATTCGCTGAGTTAAGCACCACATTGATTCGAGTCCACCCGTTGAATCGAACAACGAAGTGCTGGGACGACCTTCGCTGCTACGTGTAGCATGCAAAAACGTATGAACAGAGCTATACGCGTGCCTCTACTGTACAGTATTATCATTCAATACAGCCTCTACCTGGCCCGTTCTAACTGCGCCTTCGATCGCTTTTGCTTCACTTTAACGCGCGGCTGTTGTCTATTATACCGTCGAAAGTTACAAGTCGATTCGTTGATCTAGGTCGGTTTCTTTCTATTTTACTGTGTTACACTAAAGGATAGCGAAGACGGACGGTTGAACAAAACGGCTCTCAGTACCCAGAAGCTAGCACTATTCGGCCCTCAGCTAAATTTACTTCACGGAGTCTCTAAACACTACCATTGTCACGAATGCCTTAGTCAGAGTAGCCACGACAACGCACTGAATCCGGAACGTAACCGGTAGTGCGCCCGCATATGACGCCCACTGCTGCCGCCGTCTAATCCAAGCGATCTTTGAGCTGAGCTACTCGGCCACTTACCGTTTCGTCGTAACCATTGTAGCGGTACGTATACAGCGGCTACAAGCAGTGCCAATCTTACCTGCATTCAGTCACCTGTCGTCGCTCGGCGAGCTAGCAAAGCAGACCGACAATGCCCCTGTCGTCTCAGTCGATGGTAATAGCGACGCTAAGGGTGACGTTAGGAATAATGCGAAATATGTTTGTACGTATGTATATTTGTTTGTCACAATAGAATGGTGACAGAAGGTACGACGTATGAGCGGGGAGAATTGTCTCTTTGCGTATCGATATTTTAATTTACTTAATTAGACAGCTGCACGGCGTAACACGATTCTTGAGGAACATTTTCCTTTTCATTTTCAACTAAATACCACCAAAATTAAAACAGAGACAGCTGCTTCCTATAAATAGGAATTGCTCATTCGCAAATAGTTCTTCTCTCTATAAAAAAACACATCAGCACCTCTAGAGTGACGCCTAACGGCACGCGCGCCGATACAAAGCGTGTCTAGTTGTGGCTACGCTTTTATATACCCGCAATTTCCTACGACTATTGAGAGGGCATAAAAACACATCATCAAATCACAAGACACTCTATTTAAGCTACGGATCTTCATCAATGTTTTGTCCTTTTTCACAATAGAAATATATCGTTTCGCGATATGCATTTGTCGGGTTCAATAGGCAGCAAGCAAAGGTACTAACAGCAAGAACTTGAAATTTAACCAGAGTTGCACATACCTATATATATATGTTACAAGCTACCCCTCTATCTCGCTGGCCGTTTTTACTATGAACGTCACAGCCTCGAATACAGCAGTATTTACGTCAGCCGATTCACTTTTACATTAATTTCATTTTCTTGTTTTTCCCTATAGCTGAATGTATACGTGTCTTTTAGGTGTGAGCGGCTCAAGTTCATTGTGGGATCACTAGGGGCACTTGTGTGGATTTCGGTGTAACACAAATTGAACTCACAGGCCAGTGGCTAATTCAAACTGGTTAGATGAAACAAGTATTATTTTGTTACGCTCCTGTTTTGCTTCCCCCTTTTTTTTTTTTCTCTATTTCTCCTGTGAATGGGTAAATCGATCGGCTGCAAGCAATTGGCCGTTGTCCATATTTTACTGAATAGGCCAAGTAACCGGAAGTGCAGCACTTATTGGCTCGTAGAGTCCTATATATTTCCCCTGCTATGATTGCCATCAACGCGCCTAAATGCTGATGCACTATCCAAATGCTAAACGGAAGTGTTACTAATCTGGCAACGATTTCATATGTGTTATGACAAGATAGGTGTGAATTAAATCAAGAGGGTAAATATTCGTTTTCTAGGAAAAGTTGCTCGAAGCGTATAAGCTTTAGATTTTTGAGACTAAGCCTGTGAGGCAGGTTGAATAAATGTATGATGTTGTTCATTTTCGAACGTGGATAGACGACCTGAATCTCTTTGATGAGGTATTTTGATTGAAGGTCAATTCTTCCCCGTGGTAACCTGACGATCACGGGTTAGGGTAACTGTGAACAGCGGTTGAGGACGCGATAAACCTGTACTTTCTCTCCTAATTCCCTGCCGGTGAAACCCTCAAAGTGTAATTATTTGTCGTAGCGTCTCACGTAACATGTATGTTGATCTCTAACATGGCTGGACGGGCAGGCCAATTTCGATTTTCTCATTTAACGAACTAGGCAGCATGACACATCCCTAATGACTGCTCAAGGGTGTCCAAATACAACATTACGAATAGGTATGGTCGTTTTCAAAGATTTCGTACGGTTTTGTTATACAGCTCTAAGTAGAAACAGTCCTTCAGATAATGTTTATTTTAGATTATGCGTCCGGTTCTACCTCGAAGCGTTCGTTCAAACGAGCCTTCCAGCTAATCGGTGACGTGATACTAAGCTGTTTTTAGCAAATTTTTATGTGCTAACCTAGTGTGTTTCGATTAACAGAGTCACTACGAAAGTCCGCTCAATGGCATTTGTGTATCAATGACCAGTAGCCGACTACCGATGACCTCTAAAATAGAGCTCTACAACAGCACAACACATAAGGGTATTTTCTTTGTATTCGCTTCGATCAGATCAGATAGGTATATACAGCACCTAGGACGTAACAAAAACCTTCCAAAGGACATGAAAATGCATGAATTGTTACCCTATACATCTTACTTTTTTAAAAGCTACTTTTTATGGCCATGAAAAAGATATTGATGCCGCAGTCTGTGAGTGTCTTGCTTCGAATAATGAATAACGTTTGTTGTTCGATTTAGGTCCGGGGTGAATAGATGGGATTTCCGATATGAACCTGAGGTAATCAGCTATACGACAAGGTAGCGCAAAAACAGGACCGAGGTACTTTTGTAGCCCCTATTTGTTTGCTCAAGTAAAACTTGATAACAGCTAGCATGATACAGTGCGCGAAATTTAAACAGCTGTTATTCCATTCAACAGCTATGATTGCGCAGGAGTGCGTCCCTTGATGACTCTGCCACGAACCGTTGCACTGTTTCGAAAATTGGTAAAGGATGCCAAAAACTCTATTTGTCCTTTTGCCAAATCAAGTAAGATACGTATGATTGGTTTGGCCAAATCAAATAGGAAAATAGAAGAAGTTGTTTAGTCTTAGGGGCAATTGAAACGAAAAATTTTAGTCAAGAAAATATACTTCAACCGATTACGGAGACGAAGTCGCCATTCAGCTGAAATATCGTCTCACGGCCAAAACGGCTGGCTATTAGCGACCTACTCTATGAGACGTTTTGACCAATGTACATACTTCGGTCACGTTTTCTTCAATGCAGTTTATAAATTGCTTTGAGTCAGTGTATTGAAGTATACGCTGATGTATCTATGTATGTACTTCGGCTTAGAACAGATTGCATAAATCGATCTTCTTGAAACACTCCTTCGGTTTAGCGATCACACAGTCGTTCTATGAGCGATGAAGAGACAAATAAAGCTATGCCTTTAAGAGAAAAAAACGAAACCGATTTTGTTCCAAGGCATAATTTCGCTAATTAAAATTGCCAAATGCAAGGGTGACATGTGGGACAGGGTTTCTTTCACAATAATGGGCTAAACAACGAGTGAAACCATACATTTCTGCCGATGCTATAAAAGAGAAGCAAGAATTGTTATGTTACACCATAAAGCGACTAACGCTGCTTAAAGTAAGGTTTAAGGCACCTACCTCCACAAAAACTATCAGTAATTCAGGCTCCTGTATGATAAGAATGAAGAATCATTATTGAACGTTCTTGGTAAAAAAAAAAACGGGTTTGTAAGATCGCCTGAACGTATCTGTGATAATATTAGACGAATGATTATTGGAAATATATAAACCTATCATATTTTATTTTAATCTAGAAGACGAAGAATAATAACAAATGACCTGCAGTTATTTAAGTGGCTAATCAAACAGCCAGAGCAAAAAAACGGATAGTTTCAATAAATACTGTAACAGATGATAAAAAGAGGTTCCTAAAAAATCTAGATGGCCTAGTTCATTTCGTTGTAACCTGAGGTAGTAGAAGCACTGTAGTTTCGAATATACAGATAGGCCAATCAAAGTATGTCATTTTATTGCTTGCTAGGAAAGGAAAGGCCAAATTTTTCGTACTGCCTAACCTAACTGTGAAGCCGCCAAACCAAGCTGATGGCGTTTTACTAAATAACAGCGTATATGATCAAAGGTCAATCGCTTGATAGAAGTTATTAATCCCCGGAGTTTGGCGTATGGTAAAATAGGTGAATGAAACTTTAAGCCTTAAATCCGTCAGGTTTTTCAGGACACCATTTGAATGGAATCTACCTTAGTTCGGGTAACACCGCAATGCGTTTTCTGAAATTACTAGACATATAATTTTCGTATCTGATTGTTAACGTATAGTTATACGCATGTCTTGGTGCGATTACTATCATTTTTGATAAAATTTCTATATCAATCTCTTGTCTGCACGAAGAACTTTCGATGACTGGAGGCGAAGCTCAAACCCGACTCACGATCCCGCCACTCGCTGGCCGCTTTGTCAGCGCGATGTCGCGATGGCACCTTCTTGAAGTCGGTCATCGTAATGTGCGCACCGTCCAAAGATAGTGGACACTCCGTTCTATGAATTTTGTTGTCGCAACACCGCGTTAAGCTTATTCCGCTGCTAAAGCGGCGAAACCATATGTCGCTCTATGGCGGGCCATATGGAAAAATATATGAAGCATTTAGGGACACAGCCACCTCAAGGGGTCTTTTGTCTCTATTCTAACTGCTTTTAGATTGGAAGCGGGTTAACGAAGAAGATTATAAAGAAAAAAGACAACGAATTGGATACCGACGACATCATGAGACTTCCACTGCCTACAACTCTTTTACTCATACCTATGGCTATAATATGTGCTGTTTAATGCAAATTCTGCACGCAATCGCCAACCTACGTCACTGCTCCACTCGTTCTGCCTTAACGTCGAGATGCACAGTTGGTCAAGTAACTGGACTTTTGAAGCCTCTAAGGATATTTATTAGCGTAAAAATAAGATTTCCTTTTTTTTTTACAGCAGACATGACATAGGCAGCTTAATATCCCTTATGGGTTGGTATGTTAGTGTTTCGCCTGCCGGTGAAGCTCGTACCATTTTTGGTCTTGGTGACGATGACTTGTTGATAAGACAAAAGGAACAGCTGAGCAGCTTTTCTGGTTCAGTATTATTTCTACGCTCATGTGATACAATGTTATAGTTTACGTATTATAAATAAACATGTAAATACGATCTTAGAGAATAAATTTCTAGATATTTTAGCTTCTTCCACATGCCCGAATGAAACTAACCATTGACTTTAACGCTTAGCGTTGGCTGTTGAAGTCGAAGGCAGACTAACTGTAACAGTTGACCGCGACTTGTACCTTGCAGCGGTTACTCGAATCTTGCGTACAGCCTTAGAGCCCAGCTTCGGTATGCCTCGCGTTCCGTGCACTTATGAAATGCAATTAGTATTTTTAGTAAATTTCTAGTAACATTTCGTTTATTCTTTATTAGCTCAACATTTTCTTTTATGTCTTTATGTGAGTAGGATATAGCGATCCGTACTGCATGTTGGGTATCCAACCCGGTAGCGTACTTCAGCAGATCGCCGATAGACGCAACAGCTCTGACGAGGATCAACGGGACGAGCGGGAGAGGAAGTCTAGCACCACCGGGTCTCCTTCAAGAAGGTAAATAACACTACGGTCCTTCAAAATAGCATTATGATGAAAGGAATTCATTTAGGAGTAAGATCGATGTCTTTTTTCACGAAGTTCTGAGGAAAAACAACTCTCCAGATAGTCTATTTTCATTGGTAATAATAATACTAACAATGAAAACTGTCCTGCTTTGAACACAACGAAATGTCAAAAAGTAAAAGCTAAAGTTTTTCTTTTGCCTCTTTCGAGGTTTGATGCAGACCCAATTCTTGTCGTCGCTATCGCATAGTGCATGGGCTGGGCTAGTTTCTCACTATTGTGTACAAGTTGAGTGTATATCGTTTAGCTATTCATGGTTAACTTTCTACTGCGAACTTTAGTTCTTATTCTTTTTTCGATTTACGCTATTAACGATGACAACAACAGAAACAAACGACGCCGCTACTGCTTCAATTACAAATGCCACAGATGTTCTCTTTTTCTCCTAAAAGCCTGATTTGACACTGTCTGTCGGTGATAAACTCGACGATGCTCCGAAAATCGATGGACTTTCGTCTCTCTTCTAGCGGTTCATTTTGCCACGGTGTCTACCAGCGTCATTCTCAGCCTTTTGACCACCATATTTGACATACAGTCCCTTGCGAGTTAAAGGTACAGGACAAAACGGAGGAGCAACTTAAAAGTCTGCGCTGTAACAGAAAAATGGCCGAATGACATAGATATATATGGCAAGTAGGAGCAACAGGTGCGTGTTGCCTCGGAAAGGAATCGTCTCGTTCTGCATTTACCAGTATTCGATAGACCATGCGGCTTAATTTCGAAATGGCGGAGATCATAAATTCGTTTCCTGTTGCACATGAATTTGTCATAAAGCTGTATTCTCGAATCATATTTGCTGTAACTATGGTTACGGTTTATGTATATATATATATGTATTTATATTTATGGCTGTCGTGTGCGTAATAATTGTATTGCTATTTGGTCACGTAGGTGTCTTCAGCTATTTTCGAGATGCTGTAAAAAATAAAAAACAATATTCGGTAACCATTGATTGGCTCTAGGTGTATGTTTGGCTGTGTTTCGGCTTTTTTAGGCCATATTTTCTGCTGAATGCATAGGTGAATCGTTTGGCACTCAACCTGTCAGGCTGGCTGGCTCAGTGGTCATAGTAGTATTGCTAACTGGCTTTACGTTTTGAGTGCAGACGATTTTGATTGTTATCTCAGGCTCCGACCCAGCAGACTATTTTTTGCGTTTCGTTATCGGGCTTCATTAACGTAATTGACTTAGCGATTGGCTTGACTTTTACGCTCACAAATTTGCCCGTTAATCCGCATTTTATATGTGGGTTCTGCGGCTTGCCACTGGAAACCTGCGCCCATATGGTAGAGACTATGAGACGCCTTCATAGAATAACACTGTCTCTTTTACGATTCAATTCGAACAGGGAACTCTCCTTCAGACTGGCCTTTGCTGGATACTACCTTTTACAATTTCAGGCACTGAGTGGGTCCTTCAATCAGGCAGGTAACTTATGCGACTTGCATTCAACAGCTTACGGCGGCAGAAGCTTCCCTTTTTTTTTAATCTCAAACGCGCGTGTATCCTAAATTGATGCGCGCGTTCGGAGTGCGGCAGGTTACGGTGGCTTTATTATGTTATGAATGATCGAGCCTCGCGCCAGATTTTGTGTTAGGTCAGTTCTCGGAACCTACCCCTATAGCTCTGGTATCTAAAGGGAGAAAGTATTTTTATTGAAATTAAAGGAGAACTTATAATTTCTAGGCCAAGCTTGGTCGCGACTGAAAAGTCTAAATCGCCTATGCGATTTGGTTTGCTTTTGTGATACTGGAATAAATCTTTATTGCAAAAACATAATACTAGCTGTATAATATACATATAATTATTAAATACGCTAGCTGATAACAATGCATATTTCGGCCACAATGCGCTAAACCTCAGTGGTAATGACCTCAACTTGAAGTAGTTATAGGTGGGTCGGTTAGTCCATTGACATACCGATTATAATATACGTACCTGATATGTGGTACTTGTTAAGTGCTACGTTTGAATGCTCTGAAGTATGTGAGGTTTTTTTTAATTCTGCGAATGGGACAGAACTACATGACCGGTTCATTGCAAGAAGACGTAACTCGCAAATATTTGACATGAGCGATCATTTTTTTGCAGATTTGCATTTACGTATGGTTCCATAATAAGATCGAAGATCAAGGATCTTCACTTAACTGATGAATGAAATTTTTCTTTTCCCTGCTGGATTCTATGCACTGAAAGCGAGCTGGTTACGCCTTAGTAGGCCTTTACTTCAAAGTGTCTTGCCATGTTTAGTAAACATGTTATTTCCAACCGATTTTGTATAAACAGGCAAATTGCTAAATTCGAGAACAATGCCCGCCGATACCGTGAATATTTTGCCCTTTTCAGGTGGGTCGTTACAGAAGTTCGCACTGGAGTTAAATAGAGAAAACATATTCTGCAATAATCTGTTTTATGTGATGCACAGCTGATGAAGATGCCAAGCCAAGAACGCTTAGCGGGGAATCTTCATCAGGTACTAAGTTAAAACTCAAGTTCCTGTAGGTGACAGATAATAATCGACGTTTTTGCTCGTGGCGTCCTTGTAGTTATATTAATAATTGCTGGTAAGTGAAACATTGCGTCTAGAAAAATGAAGGCAATTGACGTAAGTGAAAATGTATCAACATATTTTAGAGTTCACATTAGTAACTAGAGGCTGTAAACGATTTTGCTTCGGTCTTCGATTTACCACCTTCAATAAACCTCTACGCTATAATGGAGAGCCAATATTTCTTGTCTTACGTACGGCTCATATCAGTCGCATCGTCTATATCACGCATGGCAGCGTGATATAATAAAATACCACAAGATAACTATACGGGTTAGATCTGTACACGCGTAGTAAATTCTCATAGACTAAACAGACACTCGACACAATGGTTAACCTTTGAACGGCTTCATACACATAACTGCCGTTCTATATACGGTTCGTTTGTCCGTCTGAAATTTAATTATCTCCTACTACCATAACGAACGACTATGTCCGTGTCTTGTTGATGCTCGAATACGCTAAATTAACAACAGTTACTGCTGCTGCTGTGTAAACATAAGCGCGCCAAAGGCATTGAAGAACTTCTATTATGGCCGATAGTCGATCCGTGATTCGAATTTGTTATTAAACAGATGCGAACACGTGTGTATACTTAGAAAAAAAAGCACGGGTAAAATACTGTTTGAACACGAGTTATGGAGCGCACGACGTTACACTTTTAAAGCCTGTGAATGATAGGGTTCACTTAACACGGACGAGATCGTCGTTATCGATGCCATTCGAAACCTACTATCCACCTCGATTCTTAGTCAACATAGTAAATAGAGACCCTGCTTCTCTGCCGGTCGTCAAGCTTGTGCGTCTGTTCATCAGCCCGCCTATAATGATATCATTTAACAGTAACCTTTACGTTGTTCGTGTAAAACGACTTGTAAAAACTTCGATCTGAAATCTTGAATAGAGCCTCTTAATGTATTTCAATTTTCAATCCTTGAAAACAAGCGTACCTTTGCGTAACAGTATCAAAATTTACCCAGCTGTTTTTTTCCTGTCTCCGGATCTCCGTCGACCTGCTAGGACGCGATTCCGTTTCTTACCATATTTAAGAGAACATTCACAAGATTGGAGTGCAATTCGTCCCTTCTGTATGAGCCTTAAGAAGACGGTGTCTTCAAGATAAGCAGCTCTGCACTGAATCAGGCAACAAACGGTAGCATGCACTCAGAGTTGCTTATGTAGACGTATGTTCTCATTAATATAGCGCCGTTCTGCCTGCCACTGTGGCGTGCGTGGTTTAGAAGCCACAGAAAGCCGCAGTTGGGCATTACATAAACCTTCATCACTGAACTACCCATAATCGCAAACGATAACACACGGCCGTTGTTTATTCTAGCAAAGGTGAACGGGTCTCAAGTTAATCTTTCAAGCCCGAGTAATACCAAAATGTCAGCGTACAAAAGGTCAATTACGCGTTTCCCGTTTCCAATTATATTCTTTTTTTTACAACAATTGCATTTCTGCAGGCTTCTACAGTCGCCTCTAGTTTGTATTCTGGGTTCACGTCTTATGGACCACCGGCCATTGTCGTTGACTGGTCGGCTACAGCAGCATAAGGGAAGTACCTTTAGTAGAACCTGTTGCACGAGCACCGTAGCATATCCAACAGTTACTGGCAGGCCAGAAGCAAAAGATTACAGAAAGTATGCGTCAAATAAGCAGGCTGATGACGATGGTCCAGCCGTCGTATTGCAATAGCAACACTGACTATAGGCAATTGTGTTCCGTTGAAATTGACATAAAACTGCTAAGGAAAATTACAGTATTTCGACGCGTTCAGCTCTTTTTTCTAGCGATCTACGATAGCTGAAGTACGAAGTCCTTATGTTGGCTGAAGCCACAACACTTCGTAACCACAATCGAGGGCAGTGCTAATTCCCCAGACTAAAAATCATTTTTAACGTTCGATCGCTGACATGCCTAATTATCAACGGCAGCCTTGCCGTATTCGTCGGTCAAAATCACACTTCGCTTAACACCTGCAAATGTCGCAATGAGATGCAACAACAAAAACAGCCTATAAATTAGTAAAAAGTTTATGTAAATGTTTAGAAAAATAAGTTGTTCTATTAAATATTTTCAACTACACCATATCATGTAGCAGGTTACGTCCAGTCTATCCAAGGGCTATTGATTGTCGTCGTTTTGGCTACAAAGGCTATGTGCACGTACAGTATGAATAATGTTAGGTTTTTTGTTTTTTTTTTTTTTTTTTTTTATTATCAGAATAACTGTGATGTGTTTTTGGTGACGTTTGTAGCAGATCATTCGCAGCTGTAGCTCGCTACAAAAATCGAGATCTGTACTACTAACTGAAAATAGATTCATTGCTCTCGTAATTTCTTAACATCGTATTGATTATAACCGCTCCTAGCCAAGCTTT